TGATAAAAATCGTGTTCGTTGTAGCAGGTTTTTTTTGTTTTCTTTTTTTTTTCTGCTTTTTTTTTTCCTTTGTGCTCCAAATTTGTGGTTTGAAGCAAGTTTAGTTTGCTAGTTGCTATGGTTTCGGTGTAAAAGCAAATGTGTGACAATTTAATTAGTATTTGTGTGACAATTAATGGAACACAAATTAATGGAATTTGTGTGACAATTGGAATTAATGGAAGGGAAAGGGACTAACCGCGAATTGAGTCAACGACTCGGAAGCTCTGGCAAGATCATTGTTATCCCTGGCTTTGAGAATTTGGAACAAGAGGCGGAGTTGGGTCCTTCTACCCTACATGGTTATGAGCTTCGCCTCCTCCCGAAGCTGCTTGCATTCTTCTTCCATCGCCTCAAACTTTTGACTAACTTGTCTCTGCCCTTCCCTTATACTTTTCTGTTCCTCACTTATTTCTTCCGTCTCCTTCTTCAACCTCTTCATGCTCTGCTCTATCTTCTCCATGACCCTCTTTCTCTGCAGCTGCAAAACATTAAAATTTACAATTTACCCATTTTTTCCCCAAAAAAGAAATTTCCCTTTGGTTCTCCATTCATCATCAAAACAATTCAAATATAAGGTCAAAATGTCCCAATGATTAGAGTAAAGATTTCCAAGTTAGGGGTTTCACATTCCAACCTGTTAGACCGTAAAATCAGACGCATCGGAAAAGGGAAATAGAAAAGAACCTAAATGTATATACCCGTCGTTTGATTTGAAAACATCTGAAGCAACCTTTTGCAGTGGGGAAAATGGGAACTCCTCAAAATTTCTATCCTCCTTCGGTGATTTAGTATTTACAGGCCCAGAAGCTCTTCAAAATTTCGTCCAAATTATGTTGAAATGAGATCTCAAACTTGGTGGAACTTGGAAATGGGGAAACGTGTGGGGTCCAAATGTAGAATTAAAAAAATAAAAAATTGGCAATTCCTCCGTTTCGCATGAGGAGAACCAACAAGACTTTCCTGCAGAGCAGATTCTAAGATAATATTTTCTTTACACATTTTATATTTTACTTAAAAAAGTAATCACAACTTGTTTTTGAGCTCAGTGACTGTGGGTTTTCTTCAAATTTTTTATTTGTTAATTTTATACGCCAACGTCAGAGCACGAAAAATTTTTAAAAATTGATTGTTATATCTTATGATTTAATATATTTTTTAATATTTATTTAATTTAATTATTAATATATAATATAAGTTTAGTTAATTTAATTAATTTTTATATATGATTATATTTTTTAATAAATATGCTGTGTAATATATTAAATTAAAAAATATATTAATCAATGTCCAAAAATTTATTAATATAAAAAACTTTGTTTGGATCAAGAACTGAAAACAATAAAAAAATAATAAAAATCAATTCAAGGCATGAAAAATTTTTAGAAAATAATTATTACATTTT